AAAAGAGAGAGATAGTGGAATGATCCTAGGAAACAATTGCTTTTAGCTGACAGGAAATCAAGTTTGAACCAAAGATATACACAATAAACCAGAAGTTGATTTGGCGATCAAAGACTATACATGGCCCAGTTAGAGTCAGAGAAAGGCACAAAATAGAATCAAATGGACTAGGTGTGAAAGAGAGACCATGATGCAGAGTCCCTTTGACATATCCGGAAGGAGCCCTCTTAACAAGCCAAAAAAATGAGCATTGGTAGGGAGATGCATAAACTGACAAGCTTGGATTAACTGGCATAGGAGATATCAAGGTCTGGTGATATCAAATTATTGCAGTCCACCAACTACAACTTCTATGTAAGTGGGGGGCTGAGGAAAAATCAGAGCATCAGCTGTAGAACAACACAACTTTAACAATCATAGGAGAAGAACATGGTTTTGTTAGTCTGCCATTGCCTACTTTGTGCAATTAATGAGCAGCATATTTGGCTTTGAAGATAAGAAATCCCATGTGCAAACAGGCTAAAAACTGAAAATGCCCAGAAAATAAGAACAAAGAACCAAGATTCTTTCATGAAAGGCCTTGTGCATGTGCTTGAAGAAGCAGAGTAATGAAAGCAGATCACTAACCAGGTTAGCAAGAATGTCATCCAACATACACCAATAAAAAAGTGAACTAAGTAGAAGTTTGTCCTGATAAAAAGAGAAGGCATCAGACAGGCTGTTGTGAAGACCTTGAGAAAGCAAGAAAACAGAAAAAGTGGAGTACCAAGCCCGAGGAGCTTGCTTAAGACCATCACAAGGCCTTCTTGAGTTTGGCAAACATGAGAAGATAGTGTTCAAGCCCTGGAGGTTGTTAGCATATAGACTTCTTCCTGAAGAGTTCCATGAGAAATGCATTGGAACTATCAAGCTGTTTGATAGTCCATTGTGATTGAAGAGCAACACTTAAAAAGAATTCGAATTGTGGGTTGTTTAGCCACGGGACTAAAAGTCTCATGGAAATCAATTCCCTATTGTTGCAAAATCCCTCTGCCACCAACGAGCTGTTATAACGAGCAATGGTACCATTTGAATCTCTTTGTGAACGAACAAAGAAGTCCAGTTTGCACCCAATGGCAATTTTATGAGAAGGAGAGGAACTAAGGTGTCCCAAGCCTTGTTTGAAAGCTTGATATTCCTCCTTATGCTTGAAAAGCGCGCAAGAAGTTGAAGAGAGCAGCTTGAACTCGAGTGGGGTTTCAGTGTCAAGAAGAGGAAACTTAAGCAGAAAAACAGTGAGGAAGTTATGTGTATAGATCTAGTAACCAATGGATGAAATGTTAGACATAGAGGAAGGAAGAGAAGGAGGAGGTAAATCAATAGTAATAGAGGAAATATGAATAGGGGCTGAGAGAGGAGGAGCAGTAGGTACAGGAAGAGAAAGAAGAAGGCTCAAAAATTAGAGAGGGCGCAGAAGGAGCAACGGTAGATAAAAGCAGAGGAAGAAGGAGACTGAGTAGGAAGACAGATGAGGAAACCAAGTGCAGAGGCCAGAAAAAAGATGGTAAAGAGTAAGATAAATCTAGAGATGAAGAAGAGGAAACCTGAAAACTGTTGCTGGAGAGAAAGGAAAAACTGACTTATTAAAAATGACATGCCTAGAAATGTCAATTTTTCCCAAAAGAAGGCTCCAAAGACCATATATACCTAAGAGCTGGAGGTAAAATCCCGCTAAAGAAAACACAGGAGACTGAGTTGATGGTGCCAGCTTGTAAGAGCAGACAGAGGCTTAACAAGAGCATTGACAACCAAATAACTTTGAAAAGAGAAAAATCAGGTATCGAAAGCAACACTATCAACACAAAATGAGTCTTGTGAGTGTAAAATAACTAGATGGCAATTCTATTTAATCGAGAAATGTGGTTTGTGGCAATAGACAAACGCAAATTTATTGGACAGAGAAGTGAGAAGGCAAGGATGGCGAGCTTTGCACAATTGATGTGTGTGTCAGTGTCGCTAGTGACGCATTGAGCTGAAGTATAGGGCAATACGTTTGATGAACAATGCATAAGAAGACAGCAAGTAATCAACCCTTTTTTCACATGAATAGTCAGTGCCACACATCAGTCCTAAGGATCGTAAGAAAAGCAGATTGAGTTGTCAATATATGCTCTTGAATACAAGCAATTTATCAACACCTCACTCTTGTATCGAAAGGATACAGCCGAAGTAAATCTACTGACTCATCCCACAAACAAAACATAGAAAGAAATGCGAGCATTATCTACTGTAAAGGGGCCGCCCATTAAACATCACTAATGAACTAAGGCAAAAGGACATATGACAGAAGCATTAGACAATGTGAAAGGAAGTTAATGAGCATTTTAGACACATTTACAATCAAGGCCAAGACAAGGCCTTATTCAAAGAACAATTTATTAGGTAAAAAACCAGCCAGATGCTGAAGCTTTAAACGAAGATGGATGTGCCTAATCTGTTGATGCAAATGCAAATCCAGCACAAGGTGCTGGAAGTGCTATCAACAGACACAGGAGCAGTAGTGCTAGACCTGAAAAACTTGAGGAGGAAGGAAGTGCTCAGATGAAGCAATGAACTGGTAGAGACCATTGATATTAACACCTCTATGCAGAATCTTGTTCGTGCATTTGTCCTGAATGACAAAAAGTGTTAGCATCAAAAATAACAAAACAGTTTGTGTCTTTTGTGAGTTGATGCACAAGATAAAAGATTTGAAGAAATACAGCGAAACATGAAGAAGATTTGAGAGATGAAAAGAATAATGTGGAGTAGGCAAGATACCTTTACCTATATGACTGATTTGTAAGGAAAAGCCATTACCCAACTTGAACTGCCTAATTGATAAGGCTGAAACTGTGAAGATTAGTCAAGTCATTTGTCAGATGAATTGGTAGCAGCAGAGTCAACATACCAAGGAGGTATGGGAGGATCAGAAGAAGACTGAGGTCCTGAGGCAGCATAGGACTGAGGAACTGAAGCAGCATAAGCCTTTGACTGAGACGAGAAGACTGAAAGAGTGCTGCCAGAGAAAGGCTGAAAGTAGGATCCAGTCGATGCTAGCAGTCAAGCATTATGATTCCAACCTCCACAAATCTGACATCCAGAGTTAGAAGAGAAAGTTCCTCTGGATCTAGGACTATTGTATCTATTATTGGATCTGCCTCCTGAAAGTTATTATATCTGCCTCTGAAACCACGATATGAACCTCTGCTTCTTGCAGAGTGAAAACCTGCTATTTATACAGAATTTGAAGAATCGTAACTTGATGAAGATGATCCTCATGAGGCAGAGTAGGCAACATTAAGATCAGTGCCAGTAGATTGTTTAAGTTTTTGTTCAATATGAATGGATTCTGAACATAACAATGAACACAAATGTTCCATTTTGACAGGTTCAGACCGAGTACGAATAGAAGTTTTGAAAGCATCATATTCCTCTGGTAAACCATTCAAAGTTAGAAAAACCAGATCTTCATCATCAACTTTTGCAGAAGCTAAAGCCAGCTGAGCTACAAGATCTTTGATTTGAGACAGATATACCTCCATTGAAGAT